TTTTATTTATATAATTATATCAAATCAATATAAATATTTTTTTTACATATCATAGAAATATATTTATATAATTATATTATTAATATATTTTTATAAATATAGTAAATACAAATATATTTAATATATATATATATATAATATTTAAATATTTATTTATCTTTTTATAAATATAATAAATACATGTATATTTATATATTTAATAAATATATATTTATATCTTTTTATATACATAATAACATAAATAATATATATATATATATATTAAGTATAAATAATATTTGTTTTATAAAAATATATAAATATTTTTATTATATTTTAATATATTTGTATATATTTATAAATCTTAAATCTTAAATTCTAAACTATAAATATATTTATACATTTAACAAATACATATTTATATTTTCTTATATATATATATATTACATAATATTTAAATATTTATTTAATAAAAAAGATGTTTAGTAAATAAATATAATATTTATACAAAAAATAATTTTATTTAATTTCGATACAATATAAAATAGATTTGGTATAAATATTTTGTTAAAATTCTGTATAAATAAAAATTTTAATTAGATAATTTGAGTAAGATATACTATTTAAATTAAAGTGAATTGATATTTTAGATATTAAATCAATGAAATATGAATAAGCAACTAAACATGAACAAGCAAGTTATAAAAACATAAATAAGTAGAATAATTATTTATTTAATGATTATAATGTCATATTACAAAATTACAGTAGATTTATTTATGAGAGGTTGATCCCCTAAGGCCAGGATTATGTGGACAATGATTTCGTGGAGTGTGACAATAGGAGCATTTATTTGGGTGACCTTCTTCACAGATATCCATTTCAGTCCTAATTCGTGTTGACTTTGAATGACCCTTGAAACTTCTTCTTGTTGCTGGGTTGAGGCAAAGTTGTGGGCCTTGATGTGATGACCAATAATCTTCGTACCTAAGCTTCCAAACAAATTATCATACACTTTTTTAACTATATCCAACCTGTAAACATGATTGATGTACATCTCATAATCATGGTGAGCATGTTTGCACGCTGCAACCACATGGTAAGAAAATTTAGGTAGTCATGTGAGTGGTAGGAGAGTTTAGGTAGGCATGTGAATAACATAAGAGTTATGTGATCATGCGAATGGTAAGTAAGTTTAGATAAACATGTGAGTGACATGAGAGTTAGATAGTCATGTGAGTGGTAGAAAAGTTTCGGTAAGCATGTGAGTGATATAAGAATTAGGTGGTCATGCGAATGGTAAGTAAATTTAGATAGACATTGAGTGACATGAAAGTTAGATAGTCATGTGAGTGGTAAGAGAGTTTAGGTAGACATGTGAGTGACATAAGAGTTAGGTGGTCATGCAAATGGTAAATAAATTTAAATATACAAATATATGTATTTATTAAATATCTTATTATATACATATATATATATATATATATTATATATAAATCCATATTTATTAAATTTATTTAAATATTAAATCTATAATATTAAATTTATTTGTATTTTTCTAATATTGTAATATATATATATATATATATATATATATATATATATTTATAAATGTATATATAAATATATTAAACATATAATTATACAATATATTTTTATTATATATAAAAGTATATATTTATATTTATTATATATTATATTTAATAAAGTCATAATGTATATAATAAAATATAAATATGTATTTATCATATTTATAAAAATATATTAAAATATAATACAAATATTTATATATAATTTTATATTAAAATTATTTTATATTATATTAATAAAAATGTATTTATCATATTTCTATAAAAAATATTATTTTTACTTACTAAAGTTATTTTATATTAAAAATATATTTAAATAATATATATAATTTATTTATATAAAAATGTTATCTAGAAAGATATAATATATTTATTAAGTTTTATTATATTTATAAAAGATAAATAAATATTTAAATATTATATATATATATATTAAATATATTTATATTTACTATAATTATAAAAATATATTAATAATATAATTATATAAATAATTTTTAATATATATATATAATATTTATTTAAAAAATTATTAAAAATATATGTCAGAATTTGGCTTGCAACAGACCAAATGCTGACTTTTTATCAAAAGTGTGCTAATGGTGTAAATTTTATCTATAGAATGCTATATTTGAATATTTATATTCAAATAATGTTATGCCTGAAAAAAAAAATCGATAGGTGAAATATCCAGATGAAGACTTTTTTTAAATCCTAAGATAATTGAGATATAATGGAGGAAGGTTTTGAAGAATTGGAAAACAATGAAGGATTGAACGGTAGATAATTCTAATTTGCATAAGCTAAAACAACAAAAAACGAAACATGAATGACATTGGAGATAACATAAGGACAATGATCAAATTAAACAAGTTTGATTACAGACATTATATGGTGAATTTGAAAGCATGAAAATGAAGGAGCTAAAAGGAGTATTTGAGTATGTCACGTGTGTTCAAACCGTAGTGAATAAGCTTAATCGGGATGAAAAACGATATTCGAAAATAGTGTTGCACGAAAACTCTTAAGGTCATTAATCAACAAATTTGAGAACAAAGTATGCACGATAAAATAATTGAGGAACTTGTCCGAGCTCACAATACAAGAACTGGTTGATTCTCTTAGAGCCCATGAGTATCATAGGAAGAAAAAAGAAAGAGGAGACAACAATTCAAGTACTCCAGAGTGAGACAACTGTGAAAGAAGAGAAGACTCTCTATTCTCAGAACAATAGAGCAAAAGGCCAAGATGTAATGGTCAAGACCGAGGTTGAGAGAAGGAAGAAGGAGATTAACAAAACTGGTGAGGTAGTGGATGTGGTCGAAAATGAGGTCAATTGACAATTCACTCAAATATTAAAAGTTTAAGTGTGACAAATATAGTCACTATGTAAAAGATTGTTACTCGAACAAGTGCTTTAATTTCCGAAAGGTGAGACATTTTTCCAAAGAATGTCAAAAGTTGAGAGACTTATCTCGTAGAAGAAACAGAAGTAGGAGATTACAAATTGGCAATACACTTAGGAGCATATTACAAACAATTACACACTCATTTTTACTATTCTATTGCATCATTTTGTTAATCGCCCATTTTAATTCTCATTTTATAATTGTTTCATGCTATTTGGTTTAAGTTTTAGTTGTTAATGTTTTTCGATCGTAGTTAAGTTGAAATCAAGTTCAGTTTATTTCTCTATTCATCTTCTTTAAAATTATTTTCCTGCTCAAGTTTTTAATTACGCTTTGAATGTTAGTTTAGTTTATTTTGAGTTTCACAATGTCTGAATGTTGTTTGATTGTGGTTTTGCTTCTTTTCCAAGCTTAGTGTTGTGTTAAAAATTTTCTTTATTTCGATTTTCTTGAAACATAACTTTCGATTTATGTTGTTTTAATTTGCTTTCCTTTATTTTGTTTTTTTTATTTACTTTATTATCTTGTTTGATTTATTATTATTATTTTGTTTTCATTATTTTGCTTCGATTTATTGCTTTCTAGTTTTCTTCATTTTATTGATTTCTTCAATTTATAATTTTCTTTAATTTACTGTCTCTCTTGATTTATTATTTCCTTCAATTTATAATTATCTTCGATTTATTTTTTTTATTTATTTACTATTATCTTTGATTTTCTATTTTTTTTAATTTATAACTTGTTGTAGTTTCTGCTTTCTTTGATTCATTACTTTTCTCGATTTATTGTTTTTTTTATTATTTAGATTCACTGTCCCCTTATGATGGTTTTGTCCGCCTATCTTTTCTTATATTGTTTCTATTGATTTTTTTAGTGCTTGATTTCTCTTTTCTTGTTTGATTTCACTCTAAATGCTCACTTTTTTTTCTTCAATTGTTTGATTTTCTTTAATTTACTAATTCTTGACCTATGGAATGATTTCTTCAATTAATCAAAAACATCTTCAATTTATCAAGAATTAATATCCTTGATTTTCCTTGCTTTGATTGTTCGACTTTCCTTTTTTTGATAGCTCAATTTTTGCTTTTTTTCATGATCGATTTCTTTTGTCTCAACCCTTTTTTTTTTACTCGATTTTCTTTTCCTTATTTGCATTAACTAGTATTTTCAATATTTATGTTCATTCTTCTTAGTTTTCAATATTTAATATAAAATCATCATTGTTCCTTGCAAACAATAATATCGAGCACGATGAAAAGATATAAAAAAAAATAAGTGATTATTAAGGATTTTATATCAAGCTTGTTTGTCGATGTTGTATTGAACATGAAGCAAAATGTCGATTATTGAAGAAATGAGTGAATATCAAGTATTTGACATCAATGTTGTATTAAGCATGAGAGAAAAACTATCAAGCATCGATATGATATGGAGAATGAAAGGAGATTCACAAATGCTATTAAACATATATCGATATGATATCAAGCCCCAAGGAAGACCCATAAATAATATCAAATATATATTGACCCGATATCAAGCATGACCTCAAGAGTATATAAATAGAAAAAGAAAAAAAAAATCTAAAATAAAATTTTAGAAAAGAGATAAAAATTAAACCAGATAAAATAATATTTTGTTTTTATTGTGATTTTTGGTTATGCAGTAAGTATTTAAAAGTTTAAAAATCGTTTTCTTAATTAAGTTTGAGCGTACCTCTCACTCAGACTAAAGGGTAATTCAGGTCGTAAATGCAGTGAAGCTCAAAAGAAGTTTCCTGCGTAAGAAAGAAGACCTAGTTAGTAGTCACGGTCAACGAAGAAAATGCGATCAGAAGAAGTAAACCCTCAAAATAAAATCATATTTCAATAACAAAACGTAGATCTCCATCATCACTATATTCACCCAAATTTTCAGCAATTTTTCCTGTACGTTGCGATTCTTACAGCAGCCCGGCCCACTCCAGCCCAGTTACGACTCAATGATGACTCCCAAATACCAAAACGTACTCTCCACGGCCACGTCCATGGCGGCCACCGTGATGCTCCTCCGGTCGCTTGCCCGCAACTTCATTCCCCCGGAGCTCCACCGCTACCTCCACTCCAAACTCTCCAAATTCATCTCCTACTTCTCCTCCGAACTCACCCTCGTCATGGAAGAGTTCCACGGGTTCACTCCAAACCCGCTCTTCGCCGCGGCGCAGCTCTACCTCAAGCCGCACGCAGCGCCAAATACGAAACGCTTCCGCGCCATGAAGCCTGCGAAATCGCACCACGTATCCCTTGTCATGGACCGCAACGACGAGATGACGGACTCCTTCAACGGCGTGCCGTTTCGGTGGAGGCTTGTGTCCCGGCGCGTCCCCTCGAAATCGGTCTACCGCGGGGAGGCCTGCTCGGAATACCATATGCAGTTCTTCGAGCTGCGGTTCAACAAGAAGCACCAGGAGATGGTTCTGTCGGAGTATTTACCGCGGGTGATGAAGGAGGCGGAGGCGGCGCGAGAGAGGAGGAAGACGCTGAGGCTCTTCACGGTGAAGGACATGCGGATGAGAGGGAGGGGGGAGTTATGGCAGGGCGTGAATCTGGAGCACCCTGCGACGTTGGAAACGGTGGCGATGGATTGGGAATTGAAGGAGATGATAATTGGGGATTTGGATAGGTTTGTAGAGAGGAAGGGTTTATATAAGAGTGTTGGGAAGACGTGGAAGAGAGGGTATTTGCTTTCGGGTCCCCCTGGTACTGGGAAATCGAGTTTGATTGCTGCTATGGCCAATTACCTGAATTTTGATGTGTATGACTTGGAACTCACTGCCGTTACACGAAACTCTGAGCTCAGGAGGTTGTTGATTGCGACCAGGAATCGTTCCATTCTTGTTGTGGAGGACATTGATTGTTCCCTTGATTTGCAGAATAGGCTTCTTGCAAAACCTAAAACATCACACCGCTTTATCCCACCCCATTATTTTGACAGTCCAAAACCCCAGGTATAATCAAACCACTTTTTCTTAGTTTCAGATACTTATGTGTCAATTTTATATAGTTTCTTTCATGTATCAAAGATACTCAAAAACCTTGATGTTGTGTTTATGTTTGTTGCAGGTGACATTATCGGGCTTCCTGAATTTCATTGATGGCTTGTGGTCTAGTCGTGGGGATGAGAGGATAATAGTGTTCACCACGAATCACAAGGACAAATTGGACCCTGCTCTTCTGCGCCCTGGGCGTATGGATGTGCACATTGACATGACTTACTGCACCCCAGGTGGGTTCAAAATGCTGGCTTCCAATTACTTTGGGATCACACAGCACCCACTTTTTGTTCAAATTGAGAAGTTGCTGGGGACGACCAATGTCACTCCTGCGGAGGTGGGGGAACAGTTTTTGCAGAATGAAGAACCGGAGACTGCACTCCAAAGCCTGATGGAGCTCCTTCTTGAGAAGGAACGAAATCATGAAATGAAGATGAAAGCACCTCTCACCATTCACTGATGATACGAAATGTTGGTGCAATCAGATTTATAACCATATTTTGTATAAAAAATGGGGGAGAATTGATCATATCTGTGACCCACAAAACAGATAAACACAGTATTCTAAGGATTAAACTCATGCAGTTGATTAAAATAATTTCTTTAAAGTGTGACACTTGAGAGAGAATTTCTTTTCCGTGGACAAATATTTTATTGACAAAATAATTTCACTTTAGAACTTTCATTTGTTTTTATCTGTTTAAAGTGTGACGCCCGAAAGCACCATAACACATGAATTACGGATGTTTCTTTCATATGTCTCCCCCTTGCTATGCTTTTTCTTATCCTCCCTCATTTTCTTCTTTTCAACTCTGACCGAACCATCGTGGGTAGCTTCCATATGCTGCCATGCAGGTCGTCACCACCTCACTTCTTTGGTCTCTCTCCAAGTCTCTTCCATATTTTTTATTTGAAATTTTTAATGACTCGCACAAAAACCAGTTATATAATTTTGATCCGTAATTATATCTTGAAACCTATGAGCTAATGATTCACTCAAATTCGTAATAATTTATGTTTAAAATATTTAATTTTAAATACAATTTATTAAAATAAACTTACGTTTAAAAAATATGTTGAAAATGTCTATCATTTCAATGTATTATCAGAAATGTAAATATTTAAAAAATAATACTAATATCATTCTTATACATTTATCCATGTATCACAATAACAACACCCAAAGCGGAGTAGGTGGCGTGCTCACGTCGTCTAAAATTTTGATTATACATATAATTATAAAAACTAAATAAAATTATTTTTAAATATAAAAACTTATTATTATTATTATTATTCATATAATTATTTATTTTAAATTATTATTTTTCTATTTTTATTTTTTTCCTCCATCAGTTCTTTACTTTTTACACATCAATACTTTTATATATTTTTTTACTCTTTTACTTATATATTTTTTCTCATCATAATTTTAATTTATAATATAAAAAGTATAAATATTTTTCGGATAGAGATTCATTCTTATTCGGATGATATAAACCTTATCCGGCGTAACGACCTCACATTGGCTTAGAAGTTCTTACTCAAGTATATTTCCTATAAGAAGAGCGCTTGCTTCTTAATTATGAGAATTTTGTGTATCAGAAAGTTTTCGATCCTTGAAACCGTTTTATCGCATAACGCTCTTTTTACAGGAAATATGAACTTGAGTAGGCTTTTAAGTCGAGATGGCGTCGTTATGTCCGAAGAGGTTCCTATCATCTGGATAAGAAGGGGTTTATATCCAAAATGGTATCAGAGCCTGACCATTTTTCAAAAAAACTCCACCCTTTCTCTTCCCAAAAATATCTGAAAAACTCTTTCCTCTAAGATACAAAACCTTATAAAATATTCTTATGTCTCGGAAGATGCCAAAAGCTCAGAAACATACAATCCTCTTTTAAGCCCTTATAACATTTTTAAGAAACAAAGATGTACCCTTAGATCTATCTCCAATCTCATCTTTACCAAAATACCTCAAGTTAAGGAATATGTCAAATCCTCCGAGATAGACCAGTGTGCCCTTACCTCCACCATTGAGATTCTCATCTCATAAGGTACTGACAAAATTAAGGATACACATATCTCCACTACGAGGCTATACAATTAGTTCTTTCCCTCCATGAAAGACGGGGAATACCCGTCTCAGCAAGAGTCTCTCTCTTAGACTCTAGCTACCTCCACTATGAACATGCTGTTATCGGCACAATTCTAACTACTCTCCATGTTGGAAGTGTAATTTTGACCATTTTTCCTAACTTTAATGTTAACTTGAAAGATCCCACAATCTCTCAAAGATTAAAGGTTCAGATCTAGATCACTAGAGTTGAACAGGTAACTGATGCACCATCAACCACCCTCCATCATCAGATCATCTACAGATTGCAAGATCATGTTGTGCTACCTTCCTGTAAAGACAGAGCACTATTCGTCTTGGCTAACAACTAAGATGAAACACCTTCCATAGTTCAAATCCCTAGAAACATCTCTCAACAAGAGTTACAGAAGTTGATTCCGATGCAGTGGGTGATCAACTATGAAAAGCTCCACGTCGACCAGAAACCTATTCAGTTCACTGAGGTAACATTCAGAAGATCTATAAACAGCATAGTCAATACCATCTTAAAAAATCTCGAAGATGTTCCTAGTTCAAGCACCTCCATCTTCCAGTCCATGATGACAACGTCAGTTACTAAAGAAGGCAAGATCCCCATTACCAGCATGTACCCTGACGACAAACCTATCTTCACATATAAGATAGGAGGACACTTCATCTAGGATGCAGACCCAAACATGTGTGATTCCAACTGTGACTGTTGCGATCACACTAGAAACAATGATGAGGATAGCGATGACTCATACGATGAAGATGATGACTACAGAGAAGGATCCTGCAAACCTCTTTTCTCTCCCAATAGAAGATTTGAACCAAGAAAATGTCCTTGGATAGGACTCTACCGCCAAGACAAACCAAATCTCTCTTGGAAATACTAGCGGTGTGCTGAGATTCTTGAAAATGAAGGTCTCCTCTTCCCGACAGGAAATGTGCAGAACCTTTGTCATGTCACCTCCTGTTGTTCTTCCCATTCTGTGCATGATGATCAACCCGACGACTTACAAAATCGAAATTCCTCCTCTTGAGAGGAATGTTGATCATGTATCCAGGACGACAACTAAACCACATGTTATCGAGCAAGAAGTCGGTCCTGATAGAAAGTCAAAACACTTAAGTCAGGCTGAGAAAGTACTCAACTGACAAATAGAAAATGCCAGAACCCAGAACTCTATCTTGCAACGGATTGACCAGAAGATAGATAAGATCTATACACACCTTGAGGAGACTAATGATAAGCTCCAACATCTCATCTCCAACCTGAGAAAGTACTACAAGCAAATTTCCTCAGAACTCTCAAGGTTAGAAGAAGACAGGAAAAACACAATTTTTGGAGAGCTATCTCATGCTAAAGAAAAAGGGATCAAAAGGTTTAAGACTCAAATCCAGGAGATGGACAGTTACATTGAAGGGAAAGTCAAACAATAGAAAATGGAGAAAGATCCTTATTCTTTCCTATTTACCTCATCTTCAACCTACTCCTCTTTCCAGAACCCGTCTCCATATTTCCGCCCATCACCACAAACTTCTTGGTCATTACCTATAGTCACCGCTTACAGGCCATGGCCTAGACCAACAACACCAAGACCAAACAAAGGCAAGAAGGTCGTCACACCTTCTCCAAAATCTTCTTTTGAAGATCAACCTTCACCCAAAAAGTAAGACCATTTGACCCTATTTTCCAAGACTCTCAAGATCCATACTCTCAATTGGCTATAGAGCCTTGTCCCACTCCAACTCTTACAGATACTCCTACGACTCCAATTCTTGATGACCAACACCTCCCGATCATAAGTCAAGCATGAACTCATCTACGACTCTCCAGATGAAGAAGTCAACTCTGGTCTTACAAGGACAACTGCTTCTTCAAAACCAAATGGGAGACCCTGGTTCATTATTGATGACATCTCTCCAAGCCAATGAAGAGCAAGGCTGATTGAATTTGGAGCTTGGTTAGACATCAAACTAGTCAAGGATTTAGATTCCTACAAGGTCATTGAAGAATTCTGTTGCAGAATGACTGAAGAATACCTATGTTTCATCCTTTCCTACTGAGATACAACCAAAACTAAATAATATAGCAATGGCTATCCAGAAGAACTTTACCACCTTGAGTATGGGTCAAATTCACCAGATAACCTTAGAAGCAGTTGACAAGCTTTGTAGACAGTACGAGTTCTTTTCTAACATCATGACTCAGAAAAATAAATTTAACAAAGTCTGTCAAAAGCCATATCTTGAGATTAAATGTAAAAAGCTCTGTTCAAGCAACTGCAAGAAGAAAAGGCGGGAGATGCTGCCTACCTAAAAGAAGAAGTTCAGGGGTAAATCACAAGACAAAAAATGCTTTATTTGTAAAAAAAAAGGAGGACACTTCTCTAGGAACTATCCCCACAAAGTTGAAAGTTGAAACAACCATAAAGCTCATCTCCACCCTCAAGCTTGATGACAATGATGATATAGAGTCTCTCTATTCAAAATAGAGCTCTGCAGATGAAAAAACCATTTTTGTCCTCACCATCTCCTCTGATGAAACAAAATCTAAATATTTCGATAAATCAGAAACTGATATTGTTCCAATATTCTCTTTTCAAAAGAGATCAACCCCATCAACATCTCTCCTCCTCAACCATGCTTAGAAGTCTAGCTTCTTCCTTCGAAGTATGAGAAAGTCATCAAAGCCATAACCTATCTTGATATAGGAGCCCAGAAATCTATAATGGATCCAGACATACTATCCAAAGAATTTTGGAAAAAAGAAGTCTCCTACTTTGTTGCAGCTGATATTGGAATCAAATTGAAATCAAATTCTTCCCAGAGTGTACAGTCTGGTCTAAAGTGATTGGGAGCAAGCTTCCCAATAAGGATATACTAGTAGGTATGAATATCTACTCCATTACAAACAAACTTCAGATCCATCCTACAGGAATCAAGTTTAAGAGGGAATTCAATCTTTCACAGACATACCCAAATTATTCTCCCTCTTTGAAGCTCCTCCAGACTTGGATTAGTCACTTTGTGTGCTAACAATCATGAATACTTTTCTCATCCAAAGGCTCTATGGAGGAATCCTAAGTTCTTCGTACAGTTACCCTTCAAGTTCAACGAAGACGTCAATCCTACAAAGGTTACACATCTAGGAATGTCTCCATCAGACCTACAGTTAGTCAGACAGGAATGTCAGGAACTATTGAAACCAGGTTTGATCGAACCAATTCAATCCAATCTAATTGGGCCTATCAAGTCTTTTATGTGGAAAAAAATGTCCAAACAAATCAGAGAAAAAAAAGATGTTAGTTATTAATTATAAGTCTCTTGATCATTTTCTTAAGGATGACAAATTTCTAATTTCCAAAAAGAAGCTTATATATTTTCCAAGTTTGACCTCAAATGTTCCAAAAGGTCATGACAAAAGTCTTTGAACCCATAATAGACAACGATTATTTACATTGATGACATCCTACTATTCTCTCAAAAATGGACTCTCATAAATAGTTATTGGATCAATTTTTTTGGGAATATCCCATCAATACGAGATTATGCTCTCAGAGAAGAAGATCCACTTGGCCCAAAAAGAAATTAACTTCATGGGTATGCATTTTTGTCAAGGCTCATATCAACCTCACATCACTGAAAAACTCTTTAACTTCCCAGATGAAAATCTGACTGTCAAGCAGACCCAACAGTTTCTTGGGATAGTTAATTACATTATGGAATTCATTCTTAACGTTGCCAGATACATAAGTCCTTTATCCAAATTATTAAGGAATAATTCACCTCCGTGGGATCAAAACAGGCTAGAACAATTAAAGAACTGAAGAAGGTAGTTCAGACTCTTCCAGCTCTAAAGATTCCAGGCAATAAAAAAAGGATATCGCAAATTGATGTCGGTGATGACTATTGAGGAACAGTTCTCATCGAAAAAGACAATGCGAAAAAGTACTACTGTGGCCATGCAAGTGGACAATTCAAGAATGTCGAGAAATATTACCACACTACCTTCAAGGAAGCATTAGCCATCAAAAATAGAATAAAAAAAGTTTAATTTTCATCTCAGAGAACACCATTTTGAAATACAAATGGACATTTTTCCTTCTCAAAATCCTAAAGTTCAAAATCAAAATGTCTCCTAATCCTCAGATTCTCCGGCTAATGGACTGGTTTTCAAGGTATGATTTTTCTGTTAAACACATCAAAGGAAACCAGAACACAATCCTTGATTTTCTCTCTCGACCTAAGAAAATCGTCCAATTCATTTTTGACACCTATAGTCTTCCTCTTATCTTCACGATCAAGTTTCTCTCTAACAAAGGCAATACTGTAAAGGTCTATCCTCCCGGACTAACACCAACCACACCAACAAATATGCTTCAGTATGCGAAATCTCGATACTTTTACTTTCTCCATGAAACCATGAAATACAAAATCGTCTCAGCCTCCGTGTTTAACCTTTACATTCTCTTTGAAGGAATTTTTGAATTATTCTGTGACTCGGGTTAGAACCTTTGTGAGCCAACACTTTGGACTATATTGTGTGACACCGTTCAATACTCAATTCCTATTGCATTAAAAACACAGACAGTTTATCAATTTTGGACAGATCCTTATAAAGACAAATTTCACTTCTAAACTCTACTCGAATGGTTCTCACCACATTAGACTGTCAGAGACAAAGGGGAGTGACAGAAGACTCTCTCAAATATCTTACTTCGATTTTCTAAATCCTGCAAGTCAATTATGGTAAAAAAATGAAGTCTACATTTGAGATAACTTTGAGACTTATCCTCTTGATGATTCTAATTAATTAATCGTTGAGAATTCTATGATATTTAATATCAATGTTAAAATATAAAGAAAAATTAAGTTAAATTTTAAAGATATTTATAAAAAAAATTATATAGTCATTTAAAAAAAAATATATATATATATATATATATAATAAAATAAACTTTAATTTACTAAAAAATATTATTAAACATAGTATTAAATAACTTATCCTATAAATTATATAATAATTGATAATTTTTATAATATAAAATATTTTAAATATAATTTAAATATTTATTTTTGTATGTATTTATTTTATATCAATATTATATATATATATATATATATATATATATATATATATATATATATTATTGAAGTCTTTTATTGAAAATTTCTAGCTCCCCACTCACAACACGTTTTCTTAATGGATCAAAATTAAGTCATTTCAGCTTTAATGCACAAGAACATCAAATAATTATTAAGGTATGTTAGATGCTTATGAGGATATGGTGTAATATTTAGAGCCTTATTTTCTTATCCTTGGGTCATTGTTCACCGAAGATCCAGAAGGGGTGGGCAGTGGAGACTAATATTTACAAAAAAAAATAAAAGTGCAGAAACACAGGTTATCCATGGATAATTTAGAGTAAAAGATGGCTAAAATATAAATAACGATCTTCAAAGCACCTTTTGAGTCTTATACATATATGTATTTTATCCCTTCCTCATTTCCCGCGCTGATATCTCCCAATCACAACGGAAAATTGGCAAGGACAATAAATAGAAGCACCAAAAATAAGAAACAACCAAAAGTATCAAAAGATTAAAGAAAGCCAGAAAAAGATGTAGCAATGCAACATCCCATAGTGATTCTAGCACTTTCCCTCCCTTCTTCTTCCTTTCTTGGCTGGGGCCGAGCGAGGTAAAGAATCAAAATAAAATGCCCAACACAAGACACGTCTTTAATCTTAAAAAACTTCGAGACGTTGATCCCTCAAAAGTCGAAAGTATACCAGGAGGATGGAAAAAAATTTGAAAAAGCACTTAACCTAAATCACCTTAGAGCCACGACACATGTGGACCTAAAGGATTCCCAATATAACACATGCAAAGCTTGAAGTATGTCCAGCAAGATTCTTTTATTTGTCCATAAATTAATATAGGTCCTTTGATTATGCCTGAAACAATAAAAATAACATGTTTCGGTATGATGAGCAAAATATGGAACCCAAGAACAAGTGGCTAAACATTAAAAAAAACGTATAGTACTAACTATGCATTCTCAATATAAATTTGCTAAAAGCGGAGAAATAAATTACATTTTAAGTGCCTGCCTTTAAATTCAGAAAATTACTATGAAATTGGTTTTCAAAATGTGTCAAATAATGAACAATTTTGAAAAGCCAATTTTTACTTCATCTTATTTTTTGTAAAAACAGATTTTACTTTATCCGTAAGTCAAATTAGTTCAAAATATTCCCAAACAGCTGTTTTTCTGTTTGCCATACTGCCCAGGTGCAAGTGTCAACCAGATAACAAAACACTCCTTGACATAAATAAAATCATGCAAAAATAATTCATATATATATATATATATATATATATATATATATATATTTATTTATTTTACTTGCCTTATGTCAGAAAGCATAAAGGCAGGGATTGACATGATCCCTAAACAGCCATCTTCATTGCTATCTTCTGGTGAGGATCATATCCTACTAGCTTGAAATCAGTAGCAACAAAAGAATCTATATCTTTCTTCTTTGGGTTTATCTTCAAAATCTGAATTGAAGTTTAGGTTATCGACAAGGAAAAGGCAATTTAAACGAGTGCATAATGGTAAATATTTTGTGGGAATCTATGTTAAGCAAACGAGTTTCTTAAACATTTGCACATACCGGAAAAGGTTTTGGTTGATTCTGAAGCTGTTCCTGCAAAGGTCTCACATGATTACGGTAAACATGCGCATCCCCAATAACATGGATAAAATCGCCAGGAACAAGGTCTGACAAGAAGATATGATATGGATTGATCAGTCCGATATCTGATGTCAATTTTCCTTTTATATAAAAGCCGTATTTTTCTAATGTGACAACCTAAAAGCACGTCTGAGGCACAGCCAAACTTTAGCGGTGAAACAGAACATTTCGATAAAATTTTGAAACTACATATTTTTTTTAAAGTGCATTCTACTTTCTAAGCAAATCTGATTATTGGCATCGAAAAGACATTTTGCCCTACCATACAAAAAGTATGCCAATCATCATAATATAAAATCTTTGCTAATCACAACCCATTAATCAGTTTAAAGCCATTTAAAATCAAATGAAGAGAAATCTCTATTGAACCCACGAAAGAAGGATTTAAGAAGCCATGTTACGTCTGAGAATAAATTTAAGTCTAGCAAACTGGCATAGTTTGCTTACCACAAACATGAGCAATCATGCACGTCAGGAGAGCATAAGATGCAATATTAAATGGCACTCCCAGGCCCATGTCTGCAGATCGCTGATACATTTGACACGATAACTCCCCATTTGCTACATAGAACTGCAGGAAACCAAAAAACAAAAAAAAATTGACAAAACTTCATGAAAGGGCGAGAGAGAGACCCATATATAGCTGCATACCTGCGCAAACATGTGGCAGGGGGGAAGTGCCATCAATTTAAGATCAGATGGATTCCAAGCTGAAAGAATGATCCGACGATCATCAGGATTATGCTTTATCTTGTTAATAACATCTAAAAGCTGATCAAATCCTTGGCCAGAGTAGTCAGCATGCATGTCAGTATACCTGTTAAATGTAAGATCGAAAATAAAAAACTAGGCAACTCCACGAAATGCTGCCTAATGACTTATAAAATAAAGGTACATCCACCTACTTGGCTCCGAAGTGCCTCCACTGAAACCCATAAACAGGTCCTAAGTCACCCTCCTCCCTTTCTCTCAAACCAATACTGTATATAAATTGCAAATCCAGTTAATAACTGCACAGAGAAGAAAAAATTGTGGTTCATACAAAAATTAGTAGAAGTTCATGCTTACCTATCAAGGTATTCTCTGGATGCATTGCCATCCCATATATGAATGCCTTTTTCCTGCAGCACCTGTCAATACAAAGTGTTTCCAAGAACAAAGTTCATTATAGTCATATCTAATGAACCAGCGAAACATTCTTGTGAACCACTAATAAGCCCCCATGCAACACAGTAATTTAATTTTAAGTTTGGTTCAGCAGCTTCTCTATACTCTGACTATGTTTGGTCAAAATAACTAAAAATTGTTAGCAGAAAGCTACTAATCTATATTATTGATGCATGTGTTTTGGTAGAATTATTCAGCATTAATAATGCAACTAGCCATGTCATCATGAAACCGTTTTATGATGAGATTTTAAAGCATTGCCAATATATTTCAGTATACGCTATAATTTCAATTTCATGAACATCCACTAAAACCATGGGGATTTAATATCAAAATCAGAGTCAAATAATGTAAACCGAACCTATAAATTCTTGAAAGCCTGGGTTTTTACTATTTCCCTAAAGAACTCAGAAAAGCTTCAACAAGCTATTCTTGACCTTGTGAACCGTATGGCACATATGTTGTTTCCTGGTATAATGACGTCGCTTAGTATTAACTAATAAAACGTTGGGCATAAAACGTATTAATATTTTATTCATTTGTGCATATATTAATAAGAATCCAATCATATTATATCATTTTGATTAATAACAACAATGTAAAAATTGATTAAAAATTTGAAAACAAAAAAATACTGGGAAAAATGAGTTGGGTTGGAGACTCCAAAGCTTCCAAGCTAAAATAGTATCAATTACACCAACCTAGTTCCCCAATATATGGCTAATGCTAGCGACTTTGTGAATTGTATCCTAACTAGAAAAAGGCGGTGCATGTCTGTGCGGAAAAGATTGGTACAGATATCATTACCTTGGCACTTGTTGAGCCGCTGATAAACCAAAGAAGCTCTTCAACAACCCCTCGCCAAAATACTTTCTAGGAAACAAATGAAGAAATCATGTACACTTTGATCACAAGATGTAAAATATATATTTTTTCTTCAGCCTTCAATAAACTTTAAAAGTAACAAAACAAAAAACAATTACATCAAAATAACATAAAGAAAAGAAACACATAAATATGAAATTACTATGCATTAGTTTATTATACAAATCGAAAACCCAAATTCACACATACCTTGGTTGTTAGAATCGGAAAGTTTCTGCGCAGATTAAACCTCATCTGTGGAATTGTAGAGAATGGTGTAAGCATACATATAAATAAGAGCAACTCTTGAACAAAGCAATCAAGATTTACCTGGCAACCAAATTTCGACAAGGTACCAGTCCCTGTCCTATCTTCCTTCATTGTGCCTTCAGAAATAATTTCTTGAACCAACCTTAGATACTTAAACTCCTCATGTCTCTCATAAATCATTTTTGGAAGAAAAGAAAATTTATCGACCTCAAATTTTGAAGAGTCTGAATCATTATCAAAAAGTGGATCAGCATTCTGATCCAGGGACTCTGATGGACTACTCCTTACACGCACATAAGTGGTGAAAGAATAGCGGAGGTTGTTTTCCACCAAAGGGAATGATGAATACCATGGCTGAAAAAGAGAGGTATCAACTCGAGGCATAAAAGTGTCACATTCAATGCTAGCCTCGATTTCTGTAATATGGGCAGCTTCACATCCAGGTGCATTAAGAGCCTCTCTGTACATGACAATTATCGGCCACAACGGTAAAAGAGCTTAATATGATTACAAAAAGAAAGAAGCAGGAAGGTACCAGAAATTTAAATATACCTGAATGTCTCACCACCTCCAATAAGAAATACTTTCTCAATTGACAGACAGTATGGAGAAGCAGCCAACAATTCCATAGCAGAAGACACACTTCCACATATGACAACATTCTCTGCTGTCGCAATATCAAAGCTACCCGAGCGAGTCAGAACAACATTAAGGCGACCAGGAAAAGGCCTATTCTCAGGAGGGATACTCTCCCATGTTTTTCTACCCATCACAACGGCATTCTTCTTCCCCGGATCAGACGTTATACTAGTGATTTCATCAAAAAATTTGAGATCAGTGGGTAATTTCCAGGGCAATTTTCCATTCTTAGAAATGCCCATATCTCTGGTTGCAATCACTACTGCTTGGTATGTCCTCCGTGGAGGAGGCTCTGACTTGCCGTTGCCATTGCCATTGGAAATCACAAAAGAATCACCTGCCATCATAGGACTCAAAAATCCTGCACAACGAATGAAGTGAATCTAAACCCAAGTAATAAATCAAAACTCTTCCGAGATGAAACAAATGTAGTATACAATAAGCAACGAGTTAACAAAAAATAGTATCCTCTCCCCCCTCTTCCTTGTTTGCATACAAAAGTTCTCTGCACAAATTCATAGACTGTAAAATCCAAACTAGTATAAGAAAATTTTCCAAAATCCAGTCACGTATTTAAACTAGATTAATTATAAACACAACACACCACAATCATCTTCCTCACCGCATCACGACAACCTAGTAACAGTAAGAAACACACAATGAAACTTTCAAATCAATAGAGAAAAACCAATGAATTAAGAAGCAAAATCTCTAAAAAAATGATCACACAGCGTGCCAGCTAACATCAACGAACATAATCTAGAATTTCATAAACAAGGCAAGCAACAGACAATATAAAAGACAAATACAGGAATCGAAATGTGAACAAGGAGCTAGCGGATCTAAACCGGAGCGCGCGGAAACACACTGACCTAACAATTTTGCGCGAACTATTTTCTGCTCCTGTCCGAACAATGCAAAATTCGAAGCAGAAAAAATAGTGAAAGAAAATAAGAAGCTGAAACTGAAAATCAGAATGTGAGGCTTCTGAATGCAGAGATTTATTGGTAGAGAAAGCAACGGAACGTAAAAGTAAGAGAGAAAGAAGAAAGAGTAAGAGAAAGCGTAATGGAGAGAGAGAGAGAAGAAAATCCAAAACCACAGTTGACGTGAAGTGCCGCCAAGAAGAGTATGCGTACGTTTCTCCCCAGTGTACGTTATAGTATAGTGGATCTCTATACCATTTTTTTCACTTTTCCTCAAATACCCTTACACCAAACCCCTCACGCATGCATTTTAGGTAAGATAAATATTCATTTATATATAACCAAATTCATACAGTAATGAATACACATTCTAATAATAAATTATATTTTAATTAAAATTCTTAATAAATATTATTTTTAAAAATATAATTTATATTCTAAAGTTACCATACATAAATTACGTTCTCAGTTTATAATACAGGGTATTTATTGAGAGTGCACAAAAGACATGTATGAAGTAATTATTGAAACATAATAATTTTATATTTTAAACTAAACAGTAATTTAAAAATAAAATAAAATAAATACCAATTATGATAATGATAAGGCATGTGTGTTAATTTAATTTAATGAAAATGGTAGTTACTAAATCACATTAATTTTAAAATCAAAATTAAACATTATATTTAAAAGAAATAAGATGAAATTAAATGATCAATTATGATATTAAAACAAAGCATGTATATTATTTTAATGAGAATGTTGACAATATCATAAATATTTTCATTATTCAAAAACCTCTTAAAATTTTTATTGATTAGTAAACTAATATAATTTATTGTATAAGAGAGAATATTAAGTAATAAATTTATTTCAAATTAAATTATTTTATATATTAACATTTATAGAAATCATTTAATAAAATTTAATAAATTAATATGATTATATATATTAATTTATTCATTTTTTATTAAATAATTTTCATATACAAAATAATTTACTTAGAAAATCTTAATAACACCTACCATTTGAACAATTGAGTTAAAACACACCCCACTCTCTACATATACATATTAATATCTGTATATTAAAAATTGTAGAAATAAATAAATAAAAATTTAATAAATTGATATGATATTAATTAAATTGATATATATATATATATATATATATATATATATATGGAAGATTAATCAGAAAATCATTTTGATAGATAATTAATAAATTAATTCGATGCATTAAATATATCTGAAAAATGTAATAAATAATTTAAATTAATCATTCAGCATGTGAATAAACTAATATGTGATTAATTTATATTTAATCATGTTTGTCTTTTTATACAATTTAAATATGAGATTTGAAAGAATTTTAATTGATGCATTAAATATATTTGCAATAACGTATTAAATAATTTTAAGTAACCATTCAAACATGAATAAACTAATATGAGATTAATTCATAGCATTTATTAATGATTCTTTACCAACAATTTTAAATTCATTTTTTAAATTTAATTTAACATATAAGATTGTATCGAATAATTGAAATATTTTTTATTTATATTAAAACATTTGTAATGGTCTAAGATAAATATTAATTAAAATATAAGAATACGTGTTAATATAAAAATAATAATTTTGTAGTTAAAAACATAAAATTGTGTTTATTTTATAATTTATTTGTATTTTATTACTATTTAAAAAATAACATTATATTTTTTTTACTAGTAACTAAGTACTGGTTATCAAAATTTAACTATCGTACTCTATAGTGAGACTGAAACCAAGAATCTTCACGTAGAGGTCAAATTAATTAATAAATATATATCAAAATAAATTATAATAATAAAAAAAATATATCATATAAAATTATTAAAAATTGTAAATATAAAATAAATATGCATGATATAAAATAATTCAATAATATTTATTATTATTATTATTATTATTATATATATATATATATATATATATATATATATATATAAAAGGTATAAGGTATATAAGAAATTGTTTTTAACTGTGTATGCATGTCATAGATATATAATTAAAATAAATAGACTAATTTAAAATATAATTTTTCTTTACATAAAAAAAATATACACATATATATTACCTCAAAAAGAAATAAAATATAAATTTATATTAATTATAATTTCATATATATTCTTAATGAGATCTATCACATGTAATATTTATTTTTGAGTAAACACATAACCATTAAAGTTCAAAATAACATGCAAGATAAGCTAGTAATTTAATTTAAGAATGCAAAATTCAAATGTGAGATAAAATAATATAATTCAACTTTAAGTTTTCATATATCACATCAAACACCCGTACATACTCACATTCACGTCACATAGACACTAGACAATTTTCGAAAGACTAGATATTGAAATAGATATCAGATATATGCATCTGTCACACCACAACTCCCCAAGTACATAACACAAGAGTGATCAATTTGACAGGTATATTCATTCACGTGTGACCAAGTTAAATTTCTAAATGACTTATTAAGACACAGTTTTTTTTCACACCACAGGCTAAGTCATTAGAAACATCTTTCAACTCTCACTACCTTATCCTTTCATCTATGTAATTCTAGTGAACAATAGAGTCAAAATATCTCTGAGTCTCAAATCAATATTTTTATACATACAACACTACACACATGAGGATATTTCTTCGTAATTCTCATATCATAACATAATATTTTCAAGACACATAATAACATTTAACACACCTCATTTCATATTCATAACAAGTATTTTAATAGCTTAAGGCATATACATATCATTTCTCACATTATAATAATTTTTTTTTCTAATTTGACATCTACCCATTATTTTTATCATAACTTTTTCTTTAAACATTTTTTTAAACTAATTTTTTTATTTTATTCAATTCCTTATTTTATTGGGACTTCGATTTGCCTATATGGAACATTAGTTTTAGAGTTTTGACATATGGTGAGTGAAATTTTGGCATATGGAACCTCAAACACTGCGCATGAATTTGTTAGGCATTTCCGAGGGGGCTAACAGCAGGAAGATTCTTACAAATGGATCATGAGTCAACCATATAAGAGAATATAACACCACTCTCAACCTAAAACCTTAAGGCATTAGGTTATGAGTCTTTCTCACTTATAAGTTACCCCACTTTCCTATTTCAACCTAATGTGACACTTCAAACTCACACTTGAATTCTCAATATCTCCCCCTCAAATGTGATTCCCTTTCATATTAGTATATCTTCCCCTCGAGTGGAAGCATTTTACATTAGGTAGAAATGGGAAAATTGAGTAACTTATAAGTGAGGATGACTCATAATCTAATGTCTTAAGGTTTTAGATTGAGAGTGGTGTCATATTCTCTTATATGGTTGGCTCATGACCCATTTGTGAGAATTTCCCTGTTGTTTGTCCCCTCAGAAATACCTAACAGAATATAAAAGTGTTAAGCGAATTTAAATCTGTTGGACGAATTCATGACAGTAGCAGACTGCATAACTTACTCAATACCCTGTTTATAATGTTTCAAAATTAATTCTAAATCTTACCCTCCTTATAGTAAATTAATTCACTAAATTCAATATAAAAATAATATATTCATACAAAGACTATTTTTTTCAATCTCATATAAATTAATTATAAATTCTCATTCAATATAATCATTACAAATCAATACATACATAATTATTAGGAATGACAAAACGGGTCAGCCCGTCCTGTGCTGCTTTGGTCTGTTTCACCATTGGTTCAACAAAAGTCGAGTGGGCTGATCCACTATAGTCATGACAGACGGTAGAACTTTATATACTATAGCTCACCATAATTATTAAAAAATTAATTTATTTTTTTAAATCAAATTTTTAATAATAAAATTATCATTTATTTGTCAATAATTTAACATATATATTTCAAGTTAATAATATAAATCACCACATTATTTTAAGAAATTATAATTTATAACAATAATAAATTTAATATAATAATAAATAATAATATATATATATATATATATATATATATATAAATAACGTCAAAACTTGTAAAATTTATATTTTTTATATTAAAAATCCTAATATTTATAACTTTTTTATTTGATAAAACTTAACATTTTCTCTCCTTAAGTAATTTGTACACCTTTAATTTAAGTCATAAGGATAAAAACAATCAGTGTTCGGGATGAACGATGAGGAAATGATGAACAACAAAGAGAAAAGGAGAGATAAACTTGTGTTTGAGTTAGGAAAATATGTTTCCTATAACGAGTAAGAGAAACTTTTTTAATTCTCTTCTTATAAATTTTTACTTTATATATTATCTTTATGACGAATAATATTACAATAAAAAATAATTTTTTATTGATTATAGACGGGTCGCGAGTTGGCAGGACGAGTCGGAGCGAGACATAGGGCTACTAACATGTCAAGTCATATTTATAGCAGGTTGGTAGACCAGTCTACCAGGTCTAACCCGTTTTGTCATCCTTAATAATCATATAACCCAAATTTTTAAAACTCAAACAATACGACAAAGTTTCATTCACAATCTAGATCTTCATAATTTCTGCTCACAAAAAACTCAATTTTACAAATTGAGCATATAAGAACTCTAAACTAGTCAAATTTCATTTTTTTCATAACAAAATACAAGTCTTTGGGACATACATGCA